GGAACACTTCCAGGACCTATAAGACTAAGGATGACAGTTCAAAACTAATAGAGCTATCCAGTATAAATAAAGTAATTTGTAGTTTAAATCTTACTTTAATAATTTCTCTAGCGGTTTTCCAATGTGCTCTACAAGAAATTCCTGTATGGATTCACCGACAGTTTTCCCGTGCGTTTTAAGCCATTCTTCTTTTGCTTCTTTGCTTAGACTTGCATAGTAGTGTGGCTTTAGCATGGACTGGACAAACCATTCCCGCAGAATGCCTTTAAATGTATCGAGAGTATAGAAATACTAAATAAATTACTGACAATACAATCTATGGGACAAACACTGTAATTAAATTAACACATATTGAAAACCCCCCCGGCGTTCCCCCAGTTCAATGTTGGGCCCACATTACATGACATGGTTATTATAGATGATGTTTACATAGCAATCGTAAACATTGAGTCACGATCTTTCTCATCAGCCATACAACATTTTAGAACTGAAAATACGCGGAGTGATTAAGGCTGGAGAATACTCGTGATTTATATGTGGTTTACAGGTATAAACTATTATAAATTGTGATAATTATTGTGTAATCGTGTTTTCTCAAGTAATCCGATAATCTCCCATACGTATTCAAATTAAGTTGAGATCATTAACTATAGAAATCTGCAGGATGTAGTTGTTTTCATGAAATAACCACGACTATATAGCGATGCAATGACCGTGTATATATAGTTAGATTCCACTGACTCATTGAGCACTCTCGTGCAGCAAATTGTGGTCAATCTGCATAAAGAAATAGTGCTGATTCTTTTCAGTACATACAGAGCAGTCTTGTAGCATGCGCAGACCTACTTTAATTTACTGTCTTCTTAACGTGTCAACGTTGTATACGTTTTGAACTTGACCATTATCTACAGTGGCTATCATATTTCTTACCAAGTCCAAGACAATGAAAAGTCGTGAAATACGCGAACTTATTAGCCAATCAACGCAGCTTTAGACAGTTCTAATAAACGCTTACCTGTAGCATTAAACTCTGCAATCTTTACATATTCAGTTTTAATAGCATAAAGCCCTGCCAAACACGCTTCAATGGATTGTACCATTCCACTCCTGACGCCATAACGGATATTTTCCATGTATTGGTAAACCGTTTTGTTATAATACGCAAGCGCTTTGCGAACTTGCAAGATATCTTGCAGGGATTTGGGTGGAACAATAGCTGTATAGACGATATGATATTTAAACCACTGACACATGTAATCTGAAGTACACATTATATTTGGACCAAGCAACCATGAACCGGTGTAATAATCTTCTTCAGGATCACCAAAGTTGTGCGATAAAAAATGTTCAACTTCCGCTAAGCTTCTTAACTCTCGTGGCGTTAGCTTAGACTCATCGATTGTGAGGGACTTAAGCTGTTTAAACAATCTTCTGGCCTGGTCTGTAGTATCTTTTATTGTGACAGGATTAAGGAATTCGCGAGGTGGCACGAGTTTTTTATTTGATGATGTAAGGAAAGCAGCACACGGGCAGATCTCGTTAGACGTACGTCGTACATTAGCCAACAAGTCAATCAATCCTGATTTTATAGCTTCATTAGAATGTCTGCATAGATCAACGTTACCTGCTGTTTCTTCGGAATCGTCGCATTTATTGTTTAATATAAGCACGAGCCCAACAACGAATAACGTTAGTGAAACAAGAAGAATAACTCCAACGGTGCTGGCAACGACACGACAGCGCTTTTTGAACTTTTTCCGTACGCTATTAACCGGCATCGCTCTCGTTGCTTAAACAGCAGTAGGTCGAAGGTAGCGGTCAATTTGATCTTGCAGCCAAAACAGCAACAATCAAGTTAATTTTGGCTCATTGTTCCGCGTCCGTAAGATATTTGAATTATTTGTAAATACGTAGAATTGTATTGTTTGGTTTAATGCATGTTACACATGGAATGTGTCCATGCCATGTATCCTATATTTCCGCCTGTCTTTCACCACCAAATAATTATGTTGTTCTGCGCTAAAATATGCAGGAATATAGGGTTAGTTTCACAATTTGAAACATGTCCACCAAAATATTTGGAGTTTTAAGGTATTTGTGGAGAATTTTAATCGCACACAGTACAATAACAACTCCGAAACGGTAAACATTTTGAAAAGTGTTCTTTTGACGTGTTTATAGTTGAAACACCGTGTAAACTTATAAACACTTTTCAAAATCTTTATCGTTTTCGGAGGTCACTATTCGTGATTGTATTTAATTGAGGTATTTGAAAGAGTGAATTTTGAAACAATGTAGATAGCAATATGACAGAAAGCGTGAAATTATAATTCGAAAATAAATCGTGAAATTATAGACAGACACATGCAGGTGGAATGGAAATTTCGAATATTTTCATTTTCAGTCGCTTGGACGGTTTGATATGAATTAACTTTATCTTAGTGTTCATTAGCATCCTCTTGATCACTGAATATTGGTCGAACGTCGATATTAAATTGAAATTATTCGGACTTGATTATTTTGTACTTTATTGAAATACTTTCCAAAGCGCAATCCATGGAGCCTGAGGAACTTTTGTGTTCGGCAAGAAGATCCGAGGGACATTCTCAATTTTTTATACATACGTCATGGGAGAGTCTTAGGCAATCATTATATTATCAACTTCCTTATCTGACATGTAACATAAGTACAGGCAAGTGTTACATGTGTTGTTGCATAAATAATGGTGTCATGCATGTACGGTCAAATTTTCCATTGTTTTTATGCACTTTTGAGTATAACATTTAAAAAACGTCAGATTCAGGATCGGATGAACATTGAACACTGGTTTAACAATGTACAACACGATGGTTAATTCACAGAATGACTGAATTAATTATTCACGACACTTAAACATCACTTCCCCTTTTTCACCAGTGCCAATATACTTGAAGTTGATAATCAGCATGTGTATTATCATTTGTGAAACTCATAATTTATGAAGAAAACACAAACGAACTCATGAGCTTCAAGGAGTTTGTATATCTGATACAGAATCGTGCTAATTTACATAAACTTTAAGTTCAATCAAGACCGTATGACCTCCGTAAATAATTTGGCAAAGTTTTCGATCAGTATACCGGGCTTTAAAACGGATATATATACTCAGGCATGCAGATATATTGCCGGAAAGCTCTCGTAAAATAAACTGATTAGAGTTTCCTTAAAATATGTGAAAGAAATTGCAAATTCTCAATTATTACGAAAAACACTTAAAGAAATCATGACCGTGAAGTCTCACGTTTTACATCAATAATATACATATATTTTGGGAATAGTTTAATGTGTTTAAAATGGTATTTTTACAACGTGCCACAGTAAATAGAAGTATATATATTTTACAATTGTTTAAGAAAATGTCTAACGAATGACTTGCTTTAAATCTAAACTACAATTTTACTACAATTGTACCATATGTCCACGACTCATTTTAAAATATTTACACTGAAAGTACCGCAAACTAGAATAAAGTGCAATTATATTTAAACTCTACAACAAGTAGCTATAGAAACTTAAATTTCATTAGAGCGCGCAAAAGTGCAGTGTGTTTTTCAGTGCATTCTATTTAACATGCAATGCGTGCGCTCGATCAGCCCAATTATTGTTTAAGTTGCATTGCTATTTAAATATAGTTTTAAATTGATGCTATACAGGCATTCGTCAAACATATGTTAGTCTGTAGAATTATGGGTGTCCAAATAGGTTGAATCACTTTCTAAATTAATTAATGTAGGCCATATTCCTAAATATTCCGCCCCGCGAATAAATCCCACTGGTTGGACGTAACAACACTATTGTATAGGGTAGTGAAAGTCGGGAACGCTGGAGCGAGGGTAGGGCACAGGGGGGCAATGTTGACGTAAGGGCAATCACTAATTAATATTTCGTGTCCGAAAAATTTTTCCGGAACCTTAATTCACCAAAACAAGGGCAAAAGATTTTCCGGAACCTTAATTCACCAAAACAAGGGCAAAAAAATTTGAAAGTTGACCTAATTTTTGACTAATATTCCAGAAAATTTCACGCATATTTCAATATTACGTCCATTTCACGCGTAATTTCTACTTTTAATCGTTGTACCTCATATTTTTTGGGTTAGAATTTTTACTCTAAGGGCACTTTCGCCCCCCCTGCTCCCCTTACTAAAGGGGGGGCGATGCTTCCCTGCGCCCCCCCCTTTCCGGCGTCCCTGAGTGAAACTGAAATAATATAGGCAGAAAATGGGAATTTCTCGGATCGTGTGTGAATGCACGGCTTAAATACAATCTAGTCTGACGAACTTATATATAATGTCGACGGTGAAGTTGAGGCAACGAGGGTTTCACGGGGAGTCCGGCTACGGTTTTTCGTTCTTCGTGGGGCGTCTCTATTTTTGGTGGTGAAAATATATATTTGCATCCATCTCCCTCTGGCTGTAGTTCACATTGAACGTACTTGGTAATATGAGAAGCCAAATACGAGAGAGGCGACGATCCCTGGCTGAGCAGTTGATAATGGAATTCCTTGAGGTTAAATTTTTCCTTGAGGTTTCGTCTGGCTTCGTCACGAAATTGAGTTATCGAAAGCTGACCTATAGTGTAAGCCGTCGCCTGACCGAAAACGCTTTGGTAGCGAGTGACTTCCTTCCTTGCAATGTCTGTGTTGTCCCACGCATATTTGTCGAAGAGATCTAAAGCCTCAGCACGCGTAAGGCCTTTGGCATGAATGCCTGAGTCCACTACAAGTCGTAGAGCTCTCCAGATCTGGAAAGCAAAGAGAAGTTGTTTGGACAACAGCTAACTTATATACTACACGCGTAAAAACGCACAAGTTGTTACAGGTCTGCAAACAAGTTGTTACAAATCTGCTTACAAGCTGTCGACAAGTTGTGTTCGCACTGCTTGTTCCCAGTTGTTGTAACAAGTTTGGACCAAGCTGTTAACAACTTGTAACAAGCTTGATGTCATTATCCGACTTGTCACAAGGTTGTTCTAACAATTCTGATACAGTCATGAGATAACAAGAATGTTACAAGGTTGACGATACAAGGTTGTAACAGTATTGTTATATCATGACTGTAATGGACTTGTTGGAACAACCTTGCGACATGGTTGATAATAACAACAAGGTTGTTACAAGTTGTTAACAGCTTGTTGCAAAGTTGTTGACAATTTGGGACAAGCAGTGCGAACACATCTTTTTGACGGCTTGTTGGCAGACTAGCTTTATCCGCTGATTCGAGTAATTTTAAAAACCAAAGCCTGGTTTCCATATGGTCGTAATCGTAAAAATAGAGTCACGATCTTATACCTGATAGCTTATACCTGTAAACCACATATAAATCATAAGTATTCTGTGGTTATAATCATTCCACGTATTTTCAGTTCTGAAATGTTGTATTTCGGCTGATGAGAAAGATCGTGACTCAATCTTTACGACCGTTACGACCATATGGAAACCAGGCCTAAAGGCCGAGCATATCTACTCAAAACAAACCTGCCATTTTAACATTCCATATTTCTGCATAAGATTATTATCATAAATATCAGTTTCTGCAATCAATGGACTTTCTGCATACAACCCCCAGCCTTCAACCAGTGCGGTGTGGTATGTGATCGAGTGTAACCAACTTATGGTGTCGTCACAATTATCTTCGAAATTCTCGATGTTCCCTTGAACCTGTCAAGGAGTGTTGTTTAAAACTTGGTGAACGGGCTGGTCTTTATATGGGTTCTTGCTGAGGATGATGATGGTGATGATGATGGTGTCTGATGATGATGATGATGATGGTGTCTGATGATGATGATGATGATGGTGTCTGATGATGATGATGATGATGGTGTCTGATGATGATGATGATGATGATGATGATGGTGTCTGATGATGATGATGGTGTCTGATGATGATGATGATGGTGTCTGATGATGATGATGGTGTCTGATGATGATGATGATGGTGTCTGATGATGATGATGGTGTCTGATGATGATGATGATGATGATGATGGTGTCTGATGATGATGATGGTGTCTGATGATGATGATGATGGTGTCTGATGATGATGATGGTTCTGATGATGATGATGATGGTGTCTGATGATGATGATGATGGTGTCTGATGATGATGGTGTCTGATGATGATGATGATGATGATGGTGTGTGATGATGATGATGATGGTGTGTGATGATGATGATGATGGTGTGTGATGATGATGATGATGGTGTCT